GCTCCGCAGGGTCTCGGGCGCGAACGCCCTAGGCCGAGGCCGTGCTTCGCGGCGGCCGCGGAGGTCAGCCTTGCGCCAACCTCGACGAGTGCTCCGTCCCAGCCCGTGCGGGGGGGTGAGGCAAGTCTGCAGCGGGCCCTCCCTGGAGCACGCAGCCCCTGCGCCAAAATGAGGTGACAAGTTGTTCTCGGGGCGTTTGGGATGTGTGCAGAGGCCCCCCCTGTGAAAGAAGGGCTCCTCCAACAAGCCCAGCTGTGAGGGAAAGGGCTCGTCATTTTGTCTTCCCCCCCTTTTCTTCTCTCGCTCCCGCCCCTTCTGTGTCTTATGCTGGTATTATCCTCGGCTTCCGTCCTGCTGCACCATCGTCCTCGTCACCCTCCTTTTCATAATTTGTGTTTATTTCTTACCTCCCGCTCGCTTCTCCCTCTCTGTTGCGTCGCCACTCTTTGTGTCCAGTTCGTTCATTGTGTTGCTGATTCATATGTTCTCTCCATTGCCGTCCTTTGTCGTCGCCTGCCGCCGCTGATCATGCTCAAACCAGCTGGCGCCCGGGGGGCCGCGAGCGGAACCTCAAGCAATGAGCGATTGGTGGTCCAGCCGCAGCGAGTGGCGGTGGGACGACGGCAGTGATTGGGAAGCTCGGGGTTGGCAGGATTGGGAAAGCGCGCCAGTGGGTGGCCCTGAATACAAAAAGGGGGGGTGCTCGCAGACCCCCCTTTCCCCTCCTTCAAAAGGGGGTGCGATTTTTGTTCGACCCCCCTCCCCTCTCCCCCCCTTAAGGGGTTGGCAAGATTGGTCCGGTTGGCAATCTTCCAAGTCAGGTCGGCAATTTTCCAAGTGGCGCGGGGGTGGTGACGCCGCAGCCGCGGCGGCGATGGCGCCGCCGCCGCCGATGCCCTTCCAACGCGCTTCTCCATTCGACGCGCTCGGCGTCGTCAGCCCCGCTGCCCCTGGTTTCGGGGTCCCGATTGTGATAATTTCGAGAGGGCCGCCATTTCGAGATGATCCGGAACGCGGGGGTCGAGCGGCAGAGGGTGATGGGGGGGCGAAGGCCTAGCGCCCCCGCCCTCTTGGGCCGTCTTAAGGGTCCTCTTGGGGACCGGGTGAGCCGTTTCGGAGCGATCTTCGGAGGTCCCAGGTCCATCGCCGACGGTGTCGAGATATAAACGACGAGCGTGGTAGAATGGTGCGTTTTCCCGAAGGGAATGGATGGATGTTCGATTATTGGGACCCTCTTCGCGGTCCTCTGAAAGCATGATTGGGCCATGTTGTGTGCCTCGTGGGCCGCCTTCAAGCCGCGTTGACTCGTCGCGGGGCCACCCTGGGCCGTCTTTCGACGCTCGCTGGGACTTTCTCGGCGCTCTGCTGTCCGGGCCCTCGTGGGCCGTCTGGGGGCTTCCCCGAGGCCCCCGAAAGCCCAGGGGTTTGCGGGCGAGCTCAACCCCGCCCCCCTGTTCCCGTCTTCGTCTCGAGCGACATTTTTGGGGCCCGAGGGGGGGGGGGGGGGGGGCGGCCGAATGCTGTTTCGCGCGCCTTTCTTTCGCCGGCGAGCGGGGGTCGGCGGGCCCTTGCCGATTGACGATGTAGGCAATTCGATGGGCGGCGGGGGGGGATGGAACTCGCCGAGCGCGCCGCGAGGTCCGAACCCGACCCTGGCCCTCCATCGCTTCAGGAAAGTCGACGCATGGTCGCGGTAGGGCCTGGCTCTCGCCACCTAGACATGTTTTGTTTCGGTCGCTGTCCACCCCTTCCGGGGCAGGATATCTGGGCGGCCGTAGGCCCCGAAACGGCCCCGCTGGGGTCGCGCGTGGCGAGACGGCTTCGGCGCGTTCGTTATTCGGGCCGCCGCGTGTCTACATGTCCTCCCGAGGTGCGCCCGAGGTCCCCGCATGGAGGTCCCGCGGGGCTGCCGCGGGGAAATGCAAGTGGGGGCTGCCTAGGATCACTGGTCCTCGATCGTTGCCAGGCTCCTCTTCCTCCTCCTCCTCCTCTTCCTCCTCCTCTTCCTCCTCCTCCTCCTCCTCCTCCTCCTTTTCGTCCTCCACCTCCTCCTCCTCCTCCTTTTCATCCTCCTCCTCCTGAGGAACAAGAGGGGGGGGGAGGACGACGACGCGCATGTATTTCGATTGTGGGCAATTGTCGCCACCCGGCGGCGCGGAGCGCCGTGGGGACGTCGAGCCCAGCGCGAGAGGACGAGGAGGAGGAGGGGGAGGAAGAGGAAGAGGAAGAGGGGGAATATGATGATGATGATGAGGAGGAGGAGGAGGAAAGAGGAGGCTTCTTCGGCTTCCGCGGCGTGCACAAAACAAACTCCGGCCACAGCATTGTTGCACGCGGGGCCCTGGGCAGCGAATTGGCCACCCAAGGACCCCACGGCGCCCCGCACACACACGGCTGGCGGGGCGGGCCGGCCGAGCGGAACGGGGAAATTTGCCAGCCGCGGCAGTTGGGCTGTAGAGAAGGAGGAAAAGGAGGAGGAGGAGGAGGAGGAGGAGGAGGA